CCCGATGCCGGGCTCGATCCCAGGACCCTGGGATCATGACCTGAGCCAAAGGCAGACGCTTAACGACTGAGCCACCCAGGTGCCCCTCTCTACCTTGTATTTAATAATACATCTTGGAGATATTTCCGTTTCAATAAGAGAATTTTTTTCATTACAGCTGCACACCATTCTGCTGTAGATGTACAGTCTATTAAATCAGTCCTCTATTGATGGGACATTTGTGTTGTTTTCCATTTTTTTTACTATTGGAAACAATGCCAAATATTTAAGGCACACATGCACATGTATCTGTAGGACAGATTCTCAGAAATGGGATATTTGGGTCAAAAAGCGAATGTATCTATAGTTTTGGTAGATACTGTCAAATTCTTCTCCATAGGAGTTCTATTTTGTAATCCCCACAGCAATTTATGAGAATGCCTGTTTCTCAATACCTTAAGAATGAATTTTTTAACTTTTCAGTTTTTTGCTAATCTGTTAAGTGAGAAATGGTATCTCAATATGGTTTTGATTTGCATTTCTCATATGAGAAAATTTGATACCTCTCCATACATTTAAGGGCCATTTATATTATCTCTGAACAGTCTCTTCACATTTTTGTGTGTGTGTGCTTTGCTTGATTTCTAAGAGCTCTTTATGAATAGGGAGGTGAATCTCTATGATATGGGTTGCAAATATTTTTACCAGTTTGTAATCTTTTACCCAGTTTGTACTCTTAGGGAACTGGTGAGGGAGAAGGTCTTCTCTTTCTTAAAGCTCTCCCTCCCTCAGGGGCTCTCTTTCCCACTCAATATTCATTAATTCATTTGATCACTCAATTAGGGGAATTCAACAGAATATGGATGAAGGAAGTGACTAGAAAAAAAAAGTAACACCATTTCATGATCTTATATACCTATACCCCACTGAGTTGACACTCCACAATAAACCATTTACACTTTTGCTTCATAATATTGTGATATTTTACAACAGACATATATCATTTTGTAATTAGAAGAAGCAATACTTCTGTTGGTAGGGACTAGGAAGCACAAAGTAGAAAATAGCATCCATTTACACTGTTAATACATTAGTGTATTTTTTCAAGTTTTTCCCTCTATTTGTCTTTACTATATTGTGTACATTTTTCTAAGTCATTAAAAATGACCCCAAACATTTTCTTGCTGAATACTGCATTGTATAAATATATTATGATTTAGAAAAATAATCTCTGTAAAGTAATCCTTTCCTTTTTAAAAATAGTAGAAATAGCATGGTAATGTATATCGTTTATATATAATTCAACTGATTATGTCCTTAATATAGATTCCTAGATATGACATTTGAGCCACACGGTATGAACATTTTAAAGGACTTTGATATAGATTGCCAAACTGTGTTCTGGAAAGGATGCTGCCAAATTATTCATAGGAAATTTAATTCACTGAAATACAGAAAATATTGTTAGAAAATAAGAAAAGGCTAAAAATAAGTTCTAAACATGTAACTCAAAAAGCTAGAACAATGACAAATCTAACAGAAGTACACAAAGAATAAAGAATTAACAGAAAACAGTATGTAGAAGCATAACATGTCCTGATTAGAAAAAAATATGTTAACCCACACCTAGATACATTTCATAAAATAGCACAACACTTTCCTACTTTTCAGGATTTTGCCAAACCTTTTTAAAGATAAAGAGGTAATCTGAACATCAACCAGAGAGAAGACACACTGACTCAAAGGGAACAATAAATTGGCTAATTACAGACTTTAAAAAGTAGCACCAGAAGCTCAGAACTGCTGAGTAAAAATAAATGTCAATTTAGAATTCTATACCTAGCTAAGCCATAATTCAAGAGTAAGGGAGAAATAAAGAACTTACTACTCACAAACACTCTTGCTGAAAAATTAGAAAAATCTGAGATATTAATTTATATAAGGAACTCTTTTATAAGTCTTGCTACAAGCCAGGCACTATTTTAACCATTCTACAAATATTAATTCATCTGATCCCTATAACAACCCCATGAAGTAGATACTATTATCATCCCTACTTTACAGATAGAGAAATTGAGGCACAAAGAAATTCAGTAATCTCAAGGTCACAGAGCTAAATCTCAACAACAGAGCCACATATCAAACCCAGGCCATCTGGCTGCAGAGTTGGTGCTTTTGACCACTGCACAAGTTGCCTCTGCTCTGGGAGGCTGAGAAATGGAATTCACGAGAAAGGAGGAAATATAAGAACCAGTGGTAAGAAACTGGCAAATGTGCAGGTTAATCCAAACTTGCATTGTCTACTTTACAACAAAATAATGACAACAAATCTGGGGATGTGTTAAAAACATGATGAAATTAAAACTATACACAACCATAACATAACCTGGGAGAAGGAGAAGCACAGTTAGTGTTCTACTCTGTTAAGGACAGGCATGATGCAGACTTTATTAAGTAATGAATGTTAACAAATGTTAAAACAAAAAGATAAAATTTAACTACCGATCTTGTAGAGGAAAGTAGAGAATAAAGAAACATAATCCAATGGAAGGAATCGAAGAAAAACAAAACCCCAAAAATCATGATCCAACAAATTTTTCACGGACTTTGACAAGTTGATTCAACAAGGTCTTTAAATAGGACAATTTCTATAAAAGCTTGAAAATGTGTTATGGGCACAGAGGTATATAAATAATCTTTTGAAATGATTATCTGATAGAAGATGACAAGCTGAAATTCATTAACTAGTTCTAAAACATCAGCATAAAAATATCAAAAATGTAATGTTTGGGGCATAAAGCAAATTGCAAATATATTATCTATGTAAAAATTTAAGATACCATGGACATGTAATAAAAAAACTCAAAACATACACAGAAATAATACAGTGACTTAAGCATAATTGATACCTCTGAACAAAGTGACATAGCATGAAGCTTTACTTAAATCTGTTTTTTCCTTGCTAAAAAAAAAAAATCTGATGCTAATATGGCAAAAATTTTAACATACTATTTTAGTCGTTATATTTTCTGAACTTTTCTGTATGCCTGATATATTTTATACGTAAAATATTTTTAAATCTAAAAACAAAAGAAAAACGAAGAGGATGAAGGAAAAGAAACTAATATAAAATGTGAGTTATTAGAATTTTATTAATACCTTCATTCAATGATATTTGAGTGCCTCTCCTATGCCAGTTGCCATTAAAGCCCTCCAGCATATCAACCCCTTCTCCTAACGTGAGCCGATGGTCTCTGGACTGCTCAGCTGACAGTCCTCCTAGAGCCCCAAAGCCTTTCTAATTGTAGATATCCTTACCCTTGAAATGGCTGCTTAGGGGGCACATAGAACATACTGCTCCTAGGTGAAGGATTTGGACAAAGCATCTCTCTTCCCTACCCACATATAGTGATGAAACTGGGTCCTTGACCTTCCTAACCTCCACTGGCCCAGGTCTTCCCTCTTCATTGCCAGGCTCTGTCTAATTAATTTATGCCTCCTGAAAGGAATCAGCCTTATTGCTGCCTTCCTATATGATCCTTCCTCCCATTGGGGGATAATGGTCCTGCCATGCCTGATTTGGGCCACCTGGGGAAATTGGGGCATGGAGTTGCCTTCCAAGGCCCCTCACAGCAGCTCTTCCACCTCTGGTCCCAACTGGCCCTAATGCCAATGGGGTCCAGATCTACCCACTACAGACCACTCTCTGCTCAGCTCAGACTTCCAGGGACAGCCCTGTATTGGGGGTCACCATACTTGCTAGAGACTTTGGAGAAGCCTCTGGGCTTTCCTCCCCCACTATCCCACAACCTCCTTCCTCAGCACTGTTCTCTTCCTTTTCCCTCTAATCATTCCCTTTCAGACTTGTTTTCCTCTCTAACTCCTGTCCACAAACCCTGCTGCAGCCCGTTTCTTTAGCTGTCCCTTCTAGAGACATATACCCTGAAGTTGCCTTACCTGGAGATTTCTACAATCCATGCTGCAAGGCATCTAGCAGCCTGGAGACATGATGGATGGGAAGATGCTCAATTAGGGCCAGGAGGCTTTCAACCTAGAAGGGCCTTTGGCGAGGTAAGGGGTGTCTTTCCCAGGAGGAAGACCGTATTTGTCATTGGTGCTGGGTAACTCATTGGGTATGTCTAACATAATCCTCTTTGAGATGGAATCAACCTTATGTGGAGATAGTGCAGAGCCTGACACACAATGTCATTTCACAGGATTTTTTCCTGAATAATACAACAGATACTTTTGTCAACTCCTATGTTAAAACATGTATTTTTATAATTGAGAGGTTAGGGATGAGAATTCTTATGTTGAAGGTATATATTTTTAAATTTACTACACTGATTTAACTTGAATATTTATCTCAAGTCCATCAGTATATTCATCAGGTTAACAGGACTTCTCTCTTACAGGGAATAACTAATGATGAAAACCATGATCTGACTGAAATATTTACCATGCAACATTTTTTAAAAAGGTTTCAATGTGTGGACTTTGAAGTCTTCACCACACATCACACAGGGGTTCTCTCCCATGTGGATTTGCATTCAACAAATACTTTGTGAATGGCTACTTGTACCAGGCAGTGTGCCAGGAGCTGGGGACAAAATGGAGAGCAAAGCATGCATAGCTGGACTCTCATGGAGCTCACAGAGTTGTCAGAGAAAAAGACCCTCTGGTAAAGGGGGAGAGATGCACTCTAGCCGAAGTTGTGACCACATGTGTAGGGTATTTCTCCCACAAGGGATCTGATGAATGTGAAGACCTGAGCTCACTTCTCATCTACACAAGGTTTCTACCCTTGTGAGACCCTGTCGTCTCATGAACATGAAGGTTCATGTTGTAACTGAAACCCTTACCACATCTATCATATTTAATGGTTTCTCTGTGTGAATTCTTTGGTAAACTTGGAGATCTATGCTCTGACTGAAGAAGCACTTAGCACACACACTTGTAGCGTTTCTTTCCTGTGTGGACTTTCAGACAAGCATTAAGTCTATGTTTTCAGAGTTTCACATTTAAACAGTTTCTCTCGTGTGGAGTCTCCAATGCACTTGGAGATCTGTGTTCTGACTGAAGCCCTTACCACACTTACCACATTTGTAGAGTTTCTCTCCAGTGTGGACTCTCTTATGGATGCGAAGATTGGAGCTCTGATGGAAGCCCTTGCCACACTCCCCACACTTAAAAGGTTTTTCTCCTGTGTGAACTCTCTGATGAACACGAAGGTTTGTGCTATAACTGAAGCCTTTGCCACATGTATCACATATGAAGGGTTTTTCTCCAGTGTGGACTCTCTGATGGATGTGAAGATTGGAGCTCTGATTGAAGCCCTTGCCACACTCCTCACACTTAAAAGGTTTCTCTCCTGTGTGGACTCTCTGATGAACATGAAGGTTTGTGTTATAACTAAAGGCTTTGCCACATGTATCACATATGAAAGGTTTCTCTCCAGTGTGAATTCTCTGATGATAGCGAAGATCTGTGCTCCGACTGAAGCTCTTCCCACACACAGCACAGTCGTAAAGTTTCTTGCCTGTGGGGAAAACAGGATTCTTTGAGAACAAGAAAATGTTTACAACGATGAAAAATATTATCAAATTAAAACTCTCAATCAAGGCTGCAAACAATAGGATATCAGACTAGAGAATGTGGAAAACTATAGTCAATTAAAAGACCAACTTGAAGAATTCTACCAGGACTCAGAGGGAAAGGATTAAAAAAGTGAAATTATGAAAAAAAATATTGTGAAGGATAGATCTAGAAGATCTTATATATGTATAAGAGATCTAGAAGGAGCAAACAGAAGAATTAAAGAAAATGTACTTAATCTGAAAGAGAATTTGATTCTTTAGATTGAAAGTATCCCCCCAGTACCATGTAGGATTATTGGGAAAAAAAAAAGATAAACTAACATACACATATCTGGATGAAACTTCTGAATTTCAAAGGTCAAGAAAACAAAAGCATATAAACATTAAACAAAATAAAACAAGGTACTCCCTTGAAAAGAGAATAAGATTGGCAGAAGATAATGGTACAATGTCTGCAGTGTCCTGAGGGGAAAAGACTATAGTCAAGAATTCTAAACCTCAACTGATGATTCCCTTACATATGCAAAAGGAAGATACTCTCAAAACAAAGATGACCAAAATCAATCAAAATAAAACCTCATGAAAAGGGAAAACATGAAATATAAAAAGTAGAAATGAATAATGAAAACAAAAACTTTTCCTCCTTTTCACTCAACAAAATCCATGAAATAATAAAGGGAAACTTCTCTGAGCTGAAGGATTCAGAGATGACCAGGCTCAATGACTGGCAAACCTAATTTCTGGGGGGAAAAAAAAGCATACCTAGATATATTCTGGTAAAACTTCAAAATTCCAAGGAGAAACGGAAAAAAAAAAGTTCTAAATGTTTTTTTTTGGGGGGGGGAACAGGTTAAATAGGAATAAGAGAAAATTACTAAATGAATGTATCAGATTGGAAGAACCAAAATCAGGAGCTCAAAAACAAAGATACAATGGCTAAAACATGCTCAGGGAAAATGATTTTGAATCTAGAGGTCTCTACTCAGCCACACTAATATTCAAGACTGGGGTGAATATAAATACCTTTACAAACATGCAGAGATTCAAAAAGCTTGTCTGCAAGTGAAAAACAGATTCAAGCAAAAAAACAGACGTGGGATTTAAATTATGGAAAGAAAGGGCTCCAAAAAATTAGGGCCACTTTAATCTCTGAGAAAATGAAGTACAATGTAAAAAATTAACAATTATATATGGTTTCAACAAAACCCAGGACCTGGGGAGAGGGTGTATGAAAGCTAAGTGAAAGTTTGCTAATGGCTTTGTATTGTTCTGGAGAGTGGAAGTTATAAATAACTAACACTTGCCACCGATAGAAAAATATAACTTTTAAAACATGTTACAATCTGGAGGGTAATTAATTGAAGGATAAAAATAACGGAGGGAAAAAGGAAAGAAATAAGAATTCGTTTAGAACTCCCAAATAAGGGAAGGCAGTAAAGAATTAGAATGCATAAAATGTCAGGAATCAGACCTAATGTATTATTACAGTAAATGTAAACAGGCTAAATTCCCCTTAGAGTCTTAGAAACTCCAGGATTGGGTTAAAAAAAATCCAGCCATATTCAGCTTGCAAGAGACAAATATATACCAGGCAAATGCTAACTGTAAGAACAGATGAACAACATTAATATCTGAAAAAGCAGGATTCAAGGCAAAACACACCAACTAAGGGACTTCCAAGGAAGATGATGAAATAGGAGGACCTTAAGTTCACCTCATCCATGGATACAACTACATAACACACATCACTGTAAGTAACCCAGAAAACAAGAATGGCAGAACAAACTCCACAACTAAACTTCCAATACCATCGAAAAGGGAAGAATGGAGATACAGTGGGGAGCTAAAAATACTTGTGGGCCATCAGCGGGAGGGAGGGAGCTGCAGGTGCAGAGAGGGGAGAGAAAAAGATTATCACATCAAGGAACCTACACAGGATAGATGAATCCCCATAGCATTCGGCTTTGAAAACCAGATAGGTCAAATTTCGTAAGTTCAGTACTTAAAGCCTGGAACTTCAAAAATCAGCAGGCTTGGCTCCGGGAGAGCCCAGAGGGCAATAGGAAACAGAGTCACTGCCATTAAAGAAAGAGCATAACAAACAGCCCATAGAGATACAGTACAGAAGTGGCAGTTTGAAAAATGCCTGGGGCATATGGGAGGGGGAGCTATTTATTAATCACAGAGTGTGTCCTAGAGGGACAGATTTCACTGGGAGATTCCTGCAAGAGCAAAGGAGGTGGCAGGCATCATTTCCCTCCCCTGCTCCCCGCATAAATATATGGTCACCTGCAGAAACCAGTGTGGTACAGGCATTTACCACCTAATTTGTTTACACTGTGCCCCACCCCCTCCCGCTGAGCCTGCCTCAGTCCCAGCACTGTGGGTCCTCAGCCCCAGAAGACCAGTGCAAACTTTGCCAAGCCAGTGTCTCCCAACTGTGCTCTTTGTGGGGCTTCAGTCCAGGCAGCTGCAGTAGCTGGTTACCTCCTGTGGAGGATGCACGTACCTTGCTGAAACTGCCTGCCCTTCCCCTGCTTTGTGCAGCAGCCCTAGCTGCCCTGGTCTCAGTGATGGCTTCATGTCCCCTGCGGAACAGGAAAAGCACCACCTTGTTAAAAGTGCACATCCCACCCACCACTTTCTTTTTCTTTTTTAAAGATTTTATTTTTTGACAGAGACCGCAAGAGAGGGAACACAGCAGGGGGAGTGGGAGAGGGAGAAGCAGGCTTCCCGCTGAGCAGGGAGCCCGATGCGGGGCTCGATCCCAGGACCCTGGGATCATGACCTGAGCCGAAGGCAGATGCTTAAGGACTGAGCCACCCAGGCGCCCGGCACCCACCACTTTCAAGAGCAGGAGACAATAGTGGGCTTTCCTAACATGCAGAAAGAGACACAGAGTTAGACAAAATGAGGAGACAGGAATATGTCACAAGTGAACAGGACAAAACCACAGCAAGAGACCTAAGTGAAACAGATATAAATAGTATGTCTGATAGAGAATTTAAAGTAATGATCATAAAGATACACACAACTTGAGAAAAGAGTGGAGGACATCACTGAGACCCTTAAAAAGAGGTAGAAAACAAAAAGGAACCAAAGACAACACAATAAATAAAATTTAAAAATTTACCAGATGGAATAAATAGGTTACAGGAAGCAGAACAAATTAGTAACTGGAGGGGCGCCTGAGTAGCTCAATCGTTAAACGTCTGCCTTCGGCTCAGGTCATGATCCCAGGGTCCTGGGATCGAGCTCCACATCAGGCTCTCTGCTCGGCAGGAAGCCTGCTTCTCCCTCTCACACTCTCCCTAATTGTGTTCCCTTTCTTGTGGTCTTCTCTGTCAAATAAATCTTTTTAAAAAAATTAGCAACTGGAGGACAGAGTAATGGAAAGTAATCAAGCTGAGCAGGTGAAAGAAAAAAATTCTGCAAAATGAGAATAGACTTAGGGAACTCAGTGACTCCATCAAGTGCAATAACATTTGCATTAGAGGGATCCCAGAAGAGGAAGAGAAAGAAAAGGGGGAATAAAATTTATTTGAAGAATTAGCTGAAAACTTCCCTAATCTGGAGAAAGAAAAAGATACCCAGGAGGCACAGAGATCCCCAAACAAAATCAGCCCAAGGAGGTCCACACCAAAACACATAGTAATTAAAATGGCAAAAAGTAGTAATAAAGAATTTTAAAAGCAGCAAGAGAAAAGATGATAGTTACATACAAGGATAGATACAATCCCCATAAGTCTATCAGTGGATTTTTCAGCAGAAACTTTGCAGGCCAGGAGGAGGAGCAAGATGGTGGAGGAGTAGGAGACCTAAATTTCGTCTGGTCCCAGGAATTCAGCTGGAGAGGGATCAAACCATTCTGAACACCTACGAACTCAACAGGAGATCGAAGAAGAGAATAGCAGCAACTCTCCGAACAGAAAAGCGACCACTTTCTGGAAGGTAGGACGTGCGGAGAAGTGAATCTGAGGCAATATTCGGGAGGATAGACGGCGGGGGAGGGGGCTTCTGTCGGCCGCTTCTGGCAAGTGATAGAGCCTGCAGAGCACAAAATCGGAAATTTTAGAAGTTGGCTCTGCTGAGGGACGTTGTTCCGGTGGCTAAGCGGGGGGTGGAACCCTCGCTGGGACAGTGTGGTCTCAGGACCCTCGGGGTCACAGAAAGACTAGGGGTGCCTGAGAGCGGCAGAGCTCCCAAGTATCAGAGCGGGGAAGCCGGCTGCAGAGATGGAGCCAAGGAGTGGGCTCTCAGCTCAGGGTTGCCATAAACCCCGATCCAGGGCACAGTCGGGCCACTACTCTTACAGCAGGGACCCAACAAGTGGCAGATCCAGGCAGACTCCCCTTCCTCCCCCGGGAGGAGTGGTGCAGGAGTGCACTGCACCACAGGGATCTGCTGGGTTGGAGACTCCACACGGGGTGGTGTGCCAGAAATAGAAACATTCGGTCACAGGCCGGGTGAGCACGGAGTGCGGCCAGAGACTGGGGAGAAGGGAGTGATTGACTGCTTTTCTCTGGGGGCTCACTGAGGAGGGGGGCCCCGAGTTCTCGGCTCCTCCGGGGTGGAGATTGGGAGGCCGACATTTTCACTCTCGTCCTCCAAAGCTGTATGGAAAGCTTGCAGGGAACAAAAGCACCCGAGAGCAAACTCAAGTAGATTACTTAGCCCACCCCGGCAAAGACACTTGGGAACCACGGCAACAGGCCCCTCCCCCAGAAGATCAGCAAGAACAGCCAGCCGAGACCAAGTTTACCGATCAATGAGAATGGCAGAACTCCTGCACTAGGGGAATACTGCACATAGAATTCATGGCTTTTTCCCCATGAATCTTTACTCTTTCAAAGTTAATTTTTTTTAACTTTTTTTTTCTTTTTCCCTTTTTCAACCATTTTATCAATCCCTTTTTAAAAAAGCCTTTTTTATTTTTCATTTTTAGAGTCATATTCTATCCCTTCATAGTAGTTAACCTTATTTTTGGTATATATAAAAAGTTGTTCTCTCTTTAAAATTTTGGGATACAGTTTCTTTTAACAGACCAAAATATACCCTAAATCTCTAGTGTATGGCTTTGTTCTAGTCTACTGCCTGATCACATTCTCCCCCCCTTTTTTTTTTTTAATTTAAATCGTCTTCTTTCTTTTCTCAACCAACTTATTAATTCCTTTTATAAAATCTTTTATACTTTTCATCTTTACAGTCATATTCCATCTCTTCATCATATTCACCCTTATTTTTGTACATATATTTTTCTTTCTTTAAAAATTTGGGAGACACTTTCTTCTAAAAGACCAAAATATGCCCAAAATCTAGGTGTGGCACTGATCTATGCACCAGCCTGATCATATTTGATCATATTCTGGTTTTTTTTGTTGTTGTTTTGTTCTGTTTTTTGTTTGTTTTTATCTTTTTCTCTCTTTTCTTTTTTCTTTTTTCTTTCTTTCCCTTTCTTTTCCCCCAGTTTCAGGTCTCTTCTGATTTGTTTAGTGTATATTTTTCTGGGGTCATTGCTACCCTGTTAGGATTCTGTTCTCTCATCCATCTATTCTCCTCTGGACAAAATGACAAGATGGAAAAAAATCACCTCAAAAAAGAACAAGAGGCAGTACCGACTGCCAGGGACCTACTCAATACGGACATTAGTAAGATGTCGGAACTAGAGTTCAAAATGACAATTTTAAAGGTACTAGCTGGGCTTGAAAAAAGCATGGAAGATATCAGAGAAACCCTTTCTGGAGAAATAAAAGAACTAAAGTCTAACCAAGTCGAAATCAAAAAGGCTATTAATGGGGTGCAATAAAAAAATGGAGGCTCTAACTGCTAGGATAAATGAGGCAGAAGAGAGAATTAGTGATATAGAAGACCAAATGATGGAAAATAAAGAA